GGATGTTGGACACGTGAATATAAAGATCGGTGTGCACAGCCTCTTACTGAATGATCGTGATGTATTCTGAGTTCTTGCCAACAACACCGCCAGTCTCCACCAGATCCTCTAACTGCTGCACATAAAAACATCAATGTAGATGTTATGAGTTTTTATCAGCTGTTACTTGTGGTACTTGGATTAAACTTTGACATAGGTCATGACCATTTTCATGCTTACCGTTCTCCACACAAAGCTGAAGTTGAAACACTACTACCTTCCACTTTGAAAATTTTGATTTGAAAAGAGGTACCCTGCATGCTAAAATGCTACAGCAGGGTTCGGTTTCACAATATAACATCTAGTGGTTTTGCCAGTCTACACTATTGGATTTTATGCATTATTCATGCACATTTCAACCAAAATAGCACTAAAAGAAAAACCTACCAAGAAAGCTTTTCTTGAGCAACTGTTCTCAAAATGTTTCTAAAAGAGAGTATGAACACAACACAAAAACCATTTTGAATGATTGTAACATTTAGGGGGCAAGAATTTTCCATGAAGCTGCTATCTCAGATTACTACTGGTACTGAAGAACAGCAGCCATGGAATTATTTAACCAGTAATAAATACTTCCAAAATAATTCCTTAGAAGACTACTAGAGATTCATAAAGTAGTGCATCTTTAGTTTCCTCCCCCTTAACCTATTTTTTCTTCTATTCTTCTCTATGAGAAGGTCTCAAGCTCCAAGTGGATGGCAAGTTCTGTGAGCACAGTTTTATCTTTTGACACCAAATCTCAACCCTTTTCCTCCTTCACCACCTGTCCCCCACATCCAAAGTGGTGAACACAGATACACAAAACCAGCAAGCTGGTCATCTCAGGCTCTTTATTCAATACCAATATATTTTTAAGCACAGACACCTGACATTCATTCAACAAGCCTTCAGAGAGCCAACAAAGACCTCACACAAGGCACTTTGCGAATGTAAACAGATATGCTTCCTCCCATCCGGTTATGGTTTCTCTCTGAAGTGTCCTGTGCTCATACGTGGGCAGATGACTGGATCATGGGGGTGTGTGACCTTCCTCAGTGAATTTGTCCACTGAAGAGTGATAGCTAAATGTGAGGCTGGGAGGTGAAGCCAGGTTGGAAGAGGTGGTCACAGGGGCGTGGCCTGGAAAGGTCAGTCTCCTCCCCTCCTTTGATCTCTGCGGGCAGTCTGCCCTCCCATGAGCTCTTTCTCCTCTGCCATGCCACCCTCCCTTCCCAGCCTTGGAGCCGGTGAACTAATGGTTCTACCAACTGTGAGCCAAAGTAACATTTCCTCCTTTCAGTTGTGAGGGTCAGGTATTTTATCCCAGCAATGAGAAAGCAAGACAGACACATTCCAAAGAGACAGGTATACTCCAATGAAAGGCTATCAAAGAGGTTTAACTAAAGGAGTAAAGAAAGAAAGGCACTAAATTTTGCCTGGAGTCAGGAAAAATTAGCCAAGACAGGAGATATCAAAAGGTATTTGAGTGTTTTGGTAGAAGAGGGAAGCGCAGTTAAAAAAAAATAATAATAATCTGATAAAGCAGAAATACGTAAAATCATTTTATTTTTCCATAAAGTATTTTTTCATAATTTTATTAGCTGGAAGAATGAAGTTTTTCCACATAACTAGTTAATATTTAGCTTCTCAATGATTTTTGCTTCAGTATGCATGAGAGTTTTGTCCTTTTCCAGAAATTGTTTGCTTGTATTTGAAATTTTACTTGATTATAAGCATTTTACACCTTCTCCCATGAAGAGGTGATGCTTTATTACATTTATCTTCTTTTAAATGACTTTAAATAATGAAATTCAATCAAATTACAAGAAAGAAATCTGCCTGATCTATGGAATTTTATGAAATCTTTAGGTACTGAGTATACAGGAAAACTACTTTTCTCAAGAGACCCACAGGGCTGGAAATGTTACACTGCCCTGTTGGCTCTCAGCAGGGTTTGCCTTATCCACCAGATCAGCACATTTCCACTGATCCTGCCTACCCCAAACAGCTGAGAAGGACACAAGAAACAGGAACAGGAAATCACAGAGACTTCTAAGCTAAGCAAATAAAACTTTTCCTTTTACTTTAAAGTGACATAAACTAATAATTTAAAAGAGTAAACATTTAGTGGAAGGACCTTTTAAATATTCTAAGAAAGGTGTATTTAAAATGGCTTCACACCTTTTCAGTATCAGGATAGGACTGACTATTGGGATTCAGGAATGAGACACAGGTCAGCAGAGGCTCATTTCACAGCATATTTGGCTGCCTGATGGGGTACACAGCTGAGGGAGGGAGGGAGGAGGACGAGTGTGGCCAGAAAGCAGCAAGTGCAGGGCAAAGCAACAAAATGGGGAAGAGACAAGCCGCTTCTGAACCAAGCCGTGAGCCCTGGAGGTGGCCTGCCATGGTAGTCAGGATTTTATTCCAGGAGCAACAACAAGCTGGGGAAGTGAGGCTGTAACATGGAGAGCAGAGCACAGGGGACGAGCACACAGAGGGAGCGTCCACACGGCCAGGCTGGAAGCAGAGAGATGAGTAGAGGCCAGCAGAGTGGCCAGGGCACAGGATAATGAGTCTACACCTATCACTGTCCTCTGTACTAGGCGAGGTTTTAAGTACAATACAAATAGTATTAATTTATGCCTCAAATAATCCTCTGACCTATTTGCTGAAGAAGAAATAATGCACAGAAAAGGAAAACCACCTTCTCAAGGGCATAAGGACTGGCATAACTATCAACAGCCTTCAGCCTCAGCACCTATAATTTTAACCATTATCCTACATTAGAAAAAATTAAGCCAAAATATAATCTGGGGAGGGCTGGACAGGACGTGGTTGGTGTCTCATGAACGTGGAATTTGAATGTCATGCTTCTGTCTTTAAAAGATGAAAGAGGAGCCTTTTAGATAAATGAGGCCAACTCCATGAGGAACAAGATCTGGAAAGATCCAGAAATCCTTCCCTTACTCCAAGATGACAGCTGAGTGAGCACACAGCATCAGGCTTAGCGATGTCGGAATAAAGACTTCACAAGATGCCATGTGCTTTCTCTGGACCCTGTGAATGCTTCTCCTTATACACGGCAAGGGAGACTTTGCAGAGTTGATTAAATTAAGAATCTTGAGATGGGGAGATTATCCTGGATTATTTGCTGAGCCCCATGTAGTCACAGGGTCCTTTTAAAAAGGGAGGGAATAGGGTCAGACTCAGAGACTTGTGGAGAACACACCTCTGCTTTGAATTTGGAGTTAGAAAAGGCAGAAATGGACTTTCTCCTAGATCCTTGAGAAGGAGCACAACCCTTGACTTTAGGACCTCTGATGCCTAAAAATGTAGAAGAATAAATCTTTTTTTTTTCTTTTTTTTTTTCTTTTTTTTTTTTTTGTGGTACTGGGGATTGAACTCAGGGCCTTGTGCGTACTACACAAGTGCTCTACCAATGAGCTACATCCCCACTCCAATTCCTCACTGTTTAATTTCAATTTTAAATTAGTATTTGAAGTGTTTAAAGCTTGTATGTCATTGAGAACAAAAATGAAAGCAACTCATCACACGTCTCCTTGTGCCTTCAGACAGCTATTAGAACAAATGTAGAAAGACTGGTTTTAAATAAGGGGGACACTTCTCTAGAGAGAAGGGAGGGAGGAGAGGAACAGAGGCTGAGGTGTAGACTGTGGCGGGAAGAGACTGCCATTCTGCACTGGCGGCTGTTAGGACCTCAGTGAATTCTGTGGCGAGGTCAACAGCAGGTCAGGACTTGAACCAAGGGCATCTGACTCTAAAGCTGTTTGTACATTGTTCCAAATTATTCCAAATAATTGTAACAGGAAGTAGTAGGAGTGGCCAGAGAAGGGCTACTATGTTTAGACCACTGTAACACAACTTGGGTGGGCCTTTCAAGGCTGGGCTCCTACCCCTGCATTTCCTGGAGCTGTGACCTTTAACCAGTCCGTTAATGAGAACCTCTGACGAAGAGTTCAGGATTAATCAAAATAAGAGTGCAGGGAGGATTTCACCTTATCTACTTTCATGAAAATTCTAAGCCCTTCCCAGTATGAGTCACTCTTCTCTCATATCCCGTAACTGACAATATCATCAGCATCATCAATTCTCTCACTAATTATTTCCAAATCTGGCTATTAAAACTGTTTTCTTATTTTAATGATTAACATATTCTGATTTGATTATTTATCCTATGTGACGACTTCTCTGCAGGTCTACATCAAAGCGACATCTTCTTCCTTGTCCTATGTTACCACGCCATCTGTAACCTCATTGACCTAATCTGTAGTTCTTATTTCTATTCTCAACATGCTGCCACTTTTTTATTTCTTAGCATGAATTTGATTCTTCACTTCATATACATGTTTCCTGTCTTGATGGTTCAGTTTTGTGAAATCCAGTAATAATGTATGTTCACCTCTTATATAAGCATTTATATTTTCGCCCATAAATAATTTTTCTCAATCTCACTAATCTCCAACCACTTCCCTGTTACTGTCCCTTCCCCCACCCACATCTGTCTCAAAACTTCTAAATTTAATCCTTAAAAGTTTAAAACTCCCCCATAGTAGCACTTTCTTGCCAAGCTGTCCTCAACTCTCCACCCACAGCTCCCATTTTTCAGTGCTGAGTACCACCAGGCAGTCTTCTAAGCACTATTTAAGCATATGAACACACTGAACCCTCAGAAACTCCTGAACAGATACTACAACTGCCCTGCTCGGAACAGTGGGGTCTCTGAGCCACCCCCAGTCACACAGCTGGTGAATGTCAGAGATTCTGGGTTTAGCAATGAATTTCATCCCAGACTCCCGCCTTAGTAAGGTGACACCAAAAAACAGGCAACTGCAGGATCAAAACTGTTTATGCTTTTCTGCTTACTCCAGCAGCCTGCAGGTGACATCCACTCTAAGAAGTCACTTAGGTGGGGACTCTAAGTCCTCAGCAACCAGTGCAGATGGAAGGAGTCCACTTACCTGACAGCGCATCATAGAACTCGTCCTCACTGAGGATGTCGGGAGGCGGGGACCCTTCGACCAGAGACTGCTCTAATTCATGATGCTCCGTGGCAAGAGCCTCCAGTGCTTCTGACAAGATTTTGTTTTTCTCTTGCTCCTGTTCCAATTTTAAATTCCTCACCTAGAAGAAAACAGATGTTCAAAAAAGGCTTCAGAGTGATAGAAGACAGACATAAGCAAAAACGATTCGATTCAGTTCTACTGCAACATCCAAAATGAAAATAGTCATGTTATATACACACAGATGAATGAGCAAAATTACTCAGCTAATTTTGTACTTCCCATGAGGACTTTTCTCACCGTAGCTTAGCTAATGAAAATAGATTATGGACTACTGAACAGTTTCAGCTCAAACGATCAGATCAGTCCATTCAGAAACCATACCAGTTTCTTTTAAAATAAATATTTCTCACAACATTAATTGGGAAATTAAGAAGTTGGTTTCAGCAAGATTTAACCAAATCAAGAATTAAAAGCCATCCTAAATGACAAAATGCATACCACATCAACGTGTAAGTGCACTTCTAAAATGATCAGCATATCAAAGAAGGGAAACAAGCAGACAGTAATAACTGTAAACACTTTTATTTCCATTTTAAACCCTGTATTTTGATTTCAATTCTATATTTCACCTTCAATTTAGTACACTAAAAAAGAACTACAGAAAAGACAAAGCCTGGTTTGATTTTTCACCCTTTCAAATCATTCCTTGCATGTGACTCAAGTGTCAATATTTTGCAGTTGATGAATATCTTTAAAATTCAACTAATCTGATAATCTTCATAAGATAACCTATTCTTGATTTGGTAGGGACAGTTCACCTACTTTTCTATCAGAACCCCGTAAATCACTACCAGGCCTTAATCCTTCTTAACAGCCAACACGGCACCAGATACACAAGGCAGGAAAGCAGAAATCCACATTAGCAACTGTATATTCTCAGTGGTCTCCTCTCCCTTAGTTTCCTGCCTCTAAGAGATTATCATAGACAGCTAAGTAGGTAAAAATATTATAGGCAGCAAGAGAAGGCTAGGCCTTCAAAGAAGTAAATCCAGATGATGAAAACACAATACAACTGTGGCTAGAGGCACATTTCTTGAAGGCCAAGGCCTCAAATGACTACACCCAGCTATCTCCCCAAAGGATGATGGACATTCTAAATAGCCATCAGTCATCTGGGTAGGGGATCAACCTCATGCCCGGTCCCTTCCAAGAAAGGTCCTTGTTCTTCCCTGTTCACTTGCCCAGTGGTTCACTTCCCCATTGGATCAGCATTACCTAAGCGAGTATACTTGTAGTCACTGGTTGATCAGAGTTTCGTCCTACCTTGTATCTTTTAATGGCTTGCTCTATAATGCCTCCCCTGCAAGTGGAGTCTGCGGCAACCCACTTTCCACGTCTCCTCCTGTCTCCCTCTCAGGCAAGAGCTCTTTCCCTCAATAAGTATTTCTCACTTAACGTCTATTGCTCTTCAGAAGTCATTCTTCCATATGGGAAACATGAACATATATATCAGACTTCTAGGAGGTGAAAAGTTACACTGTTTCCTTCGTATCATTGGAGGGCCTATATTATTCCTTAGTCATAGTCAGGTTGGGTGTGGTGGTGCATGCCAGTAATTCCAGCACCTGGGAGGCAGAGACAAAAGGATCCATGAGACTTTGAGGCCAGCCTGGGCCACACAGTGAGCTCAAAGCCAGCTTGGATTACATAGCGAGACCTTGTCTCAAAAAACAAACAAAACAATCGTAAAAAAAAAAAAAAAGACATTTCTATTATTTAACTTAGTAGCATTCAACACAGTGATCTCTGAACTTATTTTTCAATGTAGTCATAGAATCTACTTTTAAAACAATCTCACAATACAAAATGGATGTTTCAGAAGGCAAAACCACATTGATGATGTTGGCCCAGCTCTCTGATGGAAGACTCTTTCCTCCCAACAGATTTTTGAGGTCCGAACCCGGAGACCACTCCAATAGTTTGAAAATCACGGGACAGGGCTCCACCACCTCCTCCAACTCAAACCTTCCATCTCTGGTACTGGGACCAGTGGACTCACTCACAAGGGCCCTCCTGCTTCTAGCCCCTTTTCCATTCTCCTTCCCATACTGCCTAAGAATAAGGCATTTCTTCCTCTGCTCTGACCCAGGGCACTCTGCAGGCCTGAGGACCTGACAGCTGCATATTAAAACAGTCCAAGAGGCCTATATATAAAGTATAGTTTTACTGAAATGCTCAGCTCACAGCATAAACAGGGTTAAATCTTTAGCAAGCTGGGAATAGTCCAGTCCTCAGGCACTTCAGTGTTTATCATTAAAGCAGCAAGATTATAATTATTAGAGCTGTGAAAATGAAATAAAAATAGCAGTAAATGGTAAGTAATAATGCAGAAAAGACATGCAAAGCTGAAAAATCAAGTATTTAGGAAATTAAAATGTACTTGCAAATATTTCTATAATTCAAGTGGTATCTCCAGAGGCATACCATGGCTGGAGATAACTTTAAAAAATAAAAATACAACGCCATTTTTCCTCTATCTGATGGGTTAAACAACTCCTTAATCTATAAATAAAGATGACAGAATTGAGCAGTGTCCAAAATGAAACTGTCTTTGAATGGAAAAGCTCAGCACTGTTGTATTTGTAGATACCAAAAACAGCCCTGCGAGAAGATCCAAATTCTTCCATCAATGCCTTCCCTCTCTCCCATTCCCCCTCCCTTCTTTTGCTTCGATTTTTTAGGTTTTCAAATATCAAAATGTAACATGCTTTTGACACTGTATCTGTAAGAATTAACTGAATCATCCCCTCTAATTCATAAGTACATAATTTTAATACCTCGATTTATCTAGCAGATTTTAGACAACTGAAAAGTGAAGGAACAAGACCCCAAAATATCCAGTCCCTTCAACAAAACCTCACTCAAAGTATCCTTTATCCATCTAAAATAGGCATCATTTTACCTCTGCCACAGCTCACCTGCTCTTTCTTGTTCTTAAGACAGCATTAACACGGTAGGAGGCAGAGGCTCCAACCTCCTTCCATCTCTGACCTTGTTTCCATCTTTCCATTGGTCGGAGGATACTTTTATCAGTATCAAGCCTAACAGGATTCACAGCACAGAGGAACCCTTGCTATAAAAATACCTACAAAGGGCAGTCGGTCCCATCAGGTCAGTGACACATCTATGAGAAAGTAACTGGCAGCACAGAAACTGCACTAGCAATAAGCACTCTCCTTGCAGCAGTCACTTTCACTGGGGTTAACACTGCAGTCAAGGAGAGATCATAAGGACAATGTGCTTCCGAATCCTCTACAGTCCCCATATTGCAGAAATACCCGGGGAACTCTTCCATCTAAAATTAGTACAGAACTTCTAATAAAGATATTGTAGAGTGCAACTTCATAAAATATTCATCTTACTTTTAAATTGTTTCCAAATTTTCCTTTGCCAACTTAGATACATGACACAGAAACAGTATCCTTCTGTGAAATATCTTTGTACAATTCCAGGTGTGTGGCTGTTTTGTTTGTATTATGTATTGACCCATGCATATTGATTACTAGGTTTTAAATTCACAAACTATAATAGATCTCCTACTTATTAAGGAAATAAAGAATCTCACAGAACTAGCCAACCCCAGTCTGTGTTCTAATTGCATTAGTCCTGGACAGAGGGGTTCACAACCACCACCAATATATAAACAAGTGAACGTCAATGTTAAACTTATTAGGCAAAAATGAAGTGAACCACAATGGAGTTAAAGTATACATGCCACTTTGTGTCTGTAGCCCTTTTAAAACAAATTTAAGCCTTTCCAATTGACTCTCCTCGAACTACTTCAATATGGCAGTTTCATTTTATTCCATTTCATGATAAGAGAAATTCACAGAGAATACTTGCAAAGTGAACAGATGCCAGCGAAGGAATCGAGTTTTAAAAACAGTCTTTCTGTAAGCCTGCTGATCCACATTTTAACTACTCTCTCATCCTAGACAGTGCCTTGTCATTTACCTCTGTTTCACGAGGGTTAAGTAAGCCAGAGATGATAATCTTACATTTGGCAAAGGCACACCAGTAAGTAGGGCATTGGTGCTTACACACAGCACAGGGTGTGTAATTATCTCATTATACAATAGGGAAAACTGGTCCTGATTATCAACCTGGTGTAGCTCTTTCAACTGGGCACGCTTCAGTCAGTTCAACACCACCCGCCTTTCATTTCTTGTTATGACACGTGAAGCTACAGCAACAAAGATTTAAACAGAAATACTAGATCTTGAGTTTTTAAAAGTATAGCTTTAAATGAAGGAGTAACACTGACATCTTTTTCCTCAGTTGTATTACCAGCAATACTCTTGCTTCAGATGGTTTTCTGGACATACTGCGACTCCCTGACACTGTTGTCAGCTGGGAAGGAGGACGGGCCTCACAAAGTGCAGCTGGTAAGAGCTCCTCTACCCTCAAATCTGACTACTGCATTGTTTAGGTGACGGGGAAAGCTACAGTTTCAAGGTGTCCCCCATATTTCAGGGATTTGAGACCTGATCCCCAAGTCAAGTTAATGGCTTTAGCAGGTGGGGTGATTTGCAGGGGAGGTGATGAGGGTCAGATAAGGCATAAGAATGGGGCCCCCATCGTGGCATCAGCAGGCTTATAAAAGAGGACGAGACTCCAGGTATCAAGTTGGCTCTGCTTTGCCACGTGATGCCTTCCACCATGCTAAGGCCCAGTGATCGTACCATGATCCTCCCCAGATGCCCAGCAGATGCCAGGACTGTGTGCTTACTTTCCAGCCTGCCAAACCATGAGAACAAATCTGTATTCTTTATAAACTACTTAGTCTCTGGCACTCAGTTACAGCATCAGAAAATAAGAATCAGACAAGGATGGAGTGTCTGTGTGCATCACAAATGGCCAGCTAGCCAGGCTGAATCACTCTCTTACCTCTAGGGCCCAGTGGTATTATGTTTTGATTTCACAGCTAAGGTGCCGTTAAGAATGAAAAATAGTCTTGTGATAGTATAATAGATATTACTTTGGTTTTATAGATTTGCAAAGCCCCTCTGTACACATTAAATGTAGAGTTTTCATTGACTCTAACATCCTTCCTCTACG